AGATTTGCAAAAAAACTTGTTCCGACTTGATCAAATATGTAGGTGACTGGAACTGACCACTTTGATGTATTTGGGGTTTACCTTTGTTCAATTTCCATGAAAAGTTTAAAGTGTTTATAGCTAGAAGGACTATACAATAGACACGAATATTTAATTATACTTCCCTCATTAAGTAGTTCAAATAATTAGTACACTGAATAAAGAAAATAGCGCATATTAACTTTAGCCAAAACAATTGCGAAAGTCCCTTTACCCACGATTACGATTTTTTTTTCAGTTTTGATATGTTTTTAGTTAAACTTGACTCAATCAAAACTACAGTATGCAATCAGCTTTTTGTTTAAAAGAAAAATTATAGGGTATGTAAGTATGTAATCTTAAAGTTTGTCTCTAACATTCGTCATTGCAAAGTTTTGCAAGTTAATGGAGTGCATCATTTACAAATGTGCGAACATTTTTACATATTTGCATATACCAGATTATATATGATATAGGTATATATAATATACCATGAGCATATTAATTATTCAATTAAGTATTTCGAGCTGTGTTCTTAATTTCGATGAGCACACGAAATATTCAAAGTATTTAATTTCTAATATTTAAGGCATTAGATGACAGATTTATTATCCGATTTTCTTTATACTTCAGAGTCAGAAATTAATAAATCGACAAATTTCAAAGGGTGCAAATATTGTAGTTATTGACATGAACCCAAAAAAAAAATGTTTTCTCTAGATACCTGAAAATATCGTCAGGAATTTAAAAAAACAAAAAAAAACGTTAACTTCGATTGCAACGAAGCTATAACACCCTTCAGAAGTATAAACGAATTTTTACAAAAACTTGTATTGGTTAATTTGTCTGACAGTTATATGTTTTAGTGATCCGATCTGAACAGTTTCTTCGGAGATTGAATCATTGCCTTGGAAAAGAACCCATGTCAAATTTGGTGAAGATATCTCGTCAGATGAAAAATCTTTCCATACAAGCACTTTATTCCGATCGTTCAGTTTCTATGGCAGCTATATCCTATAGTGGTCTGATAGTGGCGGTTCCAGCAAACGATCAGCTTCTTGGGGAGGGAAGGACGGGTGCAATTTCAGATCGGTATCTACTCAGCTCGTCACGCTGATCATTTATATATGTACTTTATAGGGTCGCTGACGTTTCTGTTTGGGTTTTACAAACATCGTGGCAAACTTAATATACCTTTCAGGATATACAAATTCTGGAAAAGTTTGAGCTCTTAATATTAATATTTACAGGTGGTGCCTTGTGATTTTAGATTTACCATATAAACAACGCGGTAACATATTTGCACTAATACTTATTCTTCTTGAAAATTTAACCATCTGCACAAAAGCTGCCACATGATTTTTTTTTGCTAAGTCAACTCGTTCAAAAATTATTCGAGGTCAAAGTTTATTCTTCATAAAAGATAATTTTTAAAATTGTTTACATTATTTCACAAAATAATGCCTGAAAGTCATAAAATCTCATATTTTTATGACTTTGGTTTTTTTTTTAATCAGAAGAGTAGAAACAATGTTATAAAATGTATGGCTTTTAATTTAAGTTGACTTATCCTTTTCCAGGATATACATTTGTTTGCATGTGAGTAAGTATTTTATATTGAATTGCTCCAAAAAATAAATCTTTCGATTTAAAATATTTTAGTCAGTTTATTTACAAAATAAAACTTTCCACAAAAGTTGCGTTTGTTGCGGTTTCTGCATTTAATTTGGTTTTGGATAAATAAGGAGAAAGATGTTACGTTAAATAAATAGTTGATGTTACTCATGTAATATATAATATATGTACTTACTGGCGACACGGGACCAACTTTATTTGATTTTAAAAATTAAGCCAACAAGATTTTTTGTAACTCTAAGACGGAGACTAGTATATGTTAATTGACAAGCATATTGATATGTATTCTATTCTACCGGCAATGCTTTTTAATCTCAATATGTTGGTAAACGAAAACCCGCCAATGCTACTAATGTGACTATTTTCGAACACAATTTTCATCGTTTCCTCAATGTTGTCTTTTCTCCTGAAAGCTTTTATTCAACTTGAATTTTCATTTCAAATAGTAGTATTTTGTTTAAAATTGGTAATATTTGTCTACAGTGGTCTTGATTTCCTGAATATAATATCGTTTTTGGATATATTTGTACTCACAATTCATGAAACGTCAACGATTTTGTAAGATTTGCTCTCGTTTATTTTGAAATCTTTATTTTCATATTGCATCACAGAAATCAGAAAACATGACATAAAATAACAGATATATTCATAATGTCAATTTTATTTTGAAAAATAAGGATACATCCACGGTAAATAGGGAGAAAAAGTCGAAAACATATAGATATACAATATATATGTTATATTTCAATAAAACAATTCTTATGAGCATTTCTTTTATAATTCTGCAGTTAATAATATATTTTTAAGAACCACAAGTAATCTGCCATCTAGTGACGATCCTATCAACCTTGACATCTTTCTTTAATCAATTTTAGATCCTGGTGAAATCATTCATTTGCTCCATTTTCCAGAGTCATAACTTTAATATAATATATTCTGTTTCTTTCATTATTTTTTGTATTCAAGAACCATCAAAAATTCCACCTTTTAACCCTTCCATACTAAGTTTCGGATATTTTCCACAAATGTAATGAAAACAATGGAAACAATGACGTTGAAGAAGTTCAATGCTTTGCCAAATTGATTTATCACTTCTATAGTACGGCGATCACGTTTTAAATCACTGAGTTCATTTTGAGATAAAAACTTAAGTGTACATTTTTCACCCTCCCACGCACATCCATTGATAGAATGTACCGATTGCTGGAATTTGATTATTTTTCTAAGGGCAAACGAATTACTTTTAAAATACAAAAAGAAATTTTTATTGAATAAAACAAGGTATTTTGTAAACTGCAAGTATATTTACCTCCACGTTTGATGTTCACTGAAACCTTGCATAGTTTTTCTCATATTTTCGCTAAGGAGCCTGAGGGTGGGGATCACATGATGTTTTTATACGAGAAAATGGTGCGCAGAACCCTCACTATGTCTGGGAAATTTTATTATTCGTACTAATAAGCCGATTATTGATCAAGAGCACATTCAATCACTTTCATGAAAAAATTCCTAATCTAAGCACTTGTCAACATAAAAGTTAGGATAGGAAAAAAAAATAAACACTAATTGATAAGGGAATTCAAATGTTTTTTATTTAATGTGAAGTACAATTGATACAATTAAGTTCCGAATAAAACTTCATTCAAATTGCCTTCACGACTTCTTTGATTCTTGGTGGAACGAGTTCGATGAACCCAATTTTCGAGTACATTAATAGCACGTTCAATAGTGGCTTTTGAAGCTTGAAGAGTTTCTGGTTTATCTCTAAAGACCAAGTTGCAATTGGAGAACAATTATTTTGATAATAGAACTGAATAATTTGTAAACGTTGTTCTTGGGTATATTTTTTCACGATGAAATTGTAAACATTACTGAAAACAATGAAAAAAAAATTACAGATCATGACATACTAAAAATGGCCGAAACGAAACTTAGAAATCATATCGTCCCTATTGTAAAACCCGATACATGTACGACATGTATGTATATGTATCCCTAAAATTTAGTATATAGGTAGGTGTCTGATATTTGCTTTTGGAAAACTTCTTTCGGATTCTTGGTCCACATAACCTTCTTGATTACTTAGCCAGTAGCCATTTAGGAAAATGTTTAACTCTTTTACAGTATTCTGCTGTCGTTAATAGAAAAATGTCAGGAGGGTTGAAATTTGAAAAATTAATCATTTTAAGAATAGTTCAAGCGGTTAATCCCTTAAAACTTGTTTGAAACTTGGTATATAATGACATGATAAAAGTCAAATAATAAACAGATTCAAAACCAAATATCTATAAGCCTCGACTGGAATGGTTTTTAATACCATCAGCGCATTTTATTTTTTCGGGTTTGGCTCATTTTTGGAGCGTCATTCGCTAGATTTTAAACAGTTTCAACGTCTTATTCATAAACCCAAGTCTTGTTACGATTACTGATGTATTTAATGAAAGTGTTTCTTCTGCTATCTCTCTGATGCTAACACGACGGTTTTCAAGGAATTTTTTCGTTGTTTCATCATTAACAGAGGTAGATAGACGATTCGCATGAATCAAGTTTTCGATGACTACACGACCTTTACTGAACGCTTTGTGTCACTCAAATAGTTGTGTTTCTGATAAAGTGGAATCTCTAAAATACTTCTTCAACATTTTAAACGAATCCGTACCCATGACTCCATTCGAAACATAAAATTTCCAGCAAATTCGTTATTCAATTTTTTTTTAATGGTAAAAATCGCTAGACAAGGTTCCAAAAACACAATAATTGAAATATGTATATCAAACTTCACACAAACAGAAACAAATGTTGTAACAATCTAGAAAACAAATTGTATCGAAGCGGTTCGTATGCACAGTTTAAATAGGTGTTATTATTCTATTATAATGCATGGGAGTGTAATGTATCATTCGATAACACTTTAGGATCGAAGGGCAGCGAGCGAGGGCATGAAAACAACTAATGAATATTTATTATTATATTGTAAATATTTACTGTTTAAATATAATATATGTATATGACTGCAAACTCAAATACTTGCTCAACAAACCGAAACTGTTACTTATATCTCTTCGCATTATATGTATGTTATCTCTTCTGCAATGCATGAAAGCCAATTAACGGCATAATGCACAAATATAAGTATGTTACATATGTAAACTCGCACAAATGTTCGTTAACCGCTATTTTTTGGCAAAACAAATGGAAAGTAATAACGTTTATCTGAGAAGAGATTAAAGCTCCGATAAGTTTACTTGCATTCAAAGCATGATTTGCATAAAAGGAATTACTTTTTATCGATACAATAACAACAAGTGTCTTTATATCGCAAATGTTATTTACATATGTATTGACAGCGAAAAACCGCGCTGCTCCAACCACAACAACAACAGCCAGTGCAACCCAACGCAACACGCATCGAACGCAAGCCGTCGGTTAAACGACAAGTGTCCTGGGGACCTCCGACGGTGGCAAAAGCGGATGCGGAAACACTCAAACTCACCATAACAGCACCCGTCTACAAACAAAATGGCTACTACGACAACACAAGCAACAATAAAAATAATGCAAATAGCGCGACAATGACATGAAATTGGCGGGAGAGTAGTCGCATACACAACAACAGCAACTACAAATGATTTAAAAAATACATAAAGGCATTAAGTAAACTGGTATAAATAGTTTCATACAATCGCATCATCGCACATTTACATACATAAATAAGAGAAATAAGTGGAAACAGGAAGTCATAGAGATATTATATGGTTTAAGATAATTAAGATTACTGCCGGATATCTGGCGCACTTGGAAAAATGTGTTAGCTCGCATAAGGAAGCTTATGATCAATTAATTTTTTACAACAAAAAGTAGTTTTACATTTGACTTTGGTTCGTATTTTACAATATAACATTATCACAACTTATACACAATAATACCTAGGAATACATATGAATAAGAATACAAATACAAGTATGAGTATATAATTTCAAAAAACTAAGAACAGGAAATGGAGCCCGCATTACTCTCTTCATATTGACAGCAATAAATTTATAAGCTCAACAAAATAATTAAGCATTTTCATCCTACTCGTGGCTTTAAGCTTCCCGAGTGTCCAAAATAATGCTGAAAGATCTTCACGATGTTAGAGAACGAAGTAATGCCACACTAGAATTCGCATTAATTAAAAGCGCAGCATTTTATAGCTGCTCTACTGCTCACTCCAGTCATGACTAAGAAATCTTGATATTTGAAATTTATTCACACTTCAAAATTTAAAGGACATATTAAGTTGCCTTAACTAGAGGTTAAAACTCGTTCGTTTTGTGAAAATACTAACTACAGTTTGAATTTTTTACTCGGAGAACCTGGAGTCGCACGAACTGTATCGAATATATCTCTAGACAATATATGATATAATGAAGATCTGCAAAATTTGTTTAACAATTTCAAAAAACCAGTGACTGATAACGGAGAATTAAGGTGCTAAAAGTAAATTTAGGGAAAGGTGAAATTCTAAAAATGAATCATCAACTACTAATATAATTATTTTCAACTGAAATAACTCATTTTTCCATATCAATTGCTCTAAAGCAAATCCAACATACCTTTTTTTCTCTTAAGGTATTTTATTTTTCAAATAATTAGTTTTCATTAACTTGCGTATTCATTTAAGAGTGGGAGCGTTTGTAAATAACATATTTTTTTGTGATATTTGACTTTAATAAACGAAAAATAGAGATGAATTGATCGCATTGTAAACATTTAGCATCCTTTCAGATGTTTTAAATAAATATCATTACAGTCTCAAAGAAATACTTTCGTTATAATTTAATTATTTGATATTTGACGCAGAGATCAATAGTAAAAAATTGTATTTAGCTACCATTGTTTATTGTTGTTGTAAGTATTATTAAGGCAATATTCCAAATATGACCATTTTGTTGGTATAAAACACGGTCCCTTCGTCTTTATTCGTCGTCTCATCGCCAACAAAAATGCGGTTTGGGCGACAAAAACTTCGTGAACCGGCTCTTAGTAAATAAACGCTAAGGGTATTCTAAATATTGTTCTACCACATTCATGGTAATAAATTACAAGCAAAATACAAGTATAAGGCCAACGTACAAACGAACTATGCAACGCGTAACCGAGCCCCACAAACATTGGCGATAATTTTATGAAAAGGAATGAAACTTGAGTTGCCGGACTCGTGTCACTCGTGTGAACGCACTTCTACTCTTTCGGAGCTCTACTCTACATTAATGGCTTTAAGACAATAAAAAACCCTTATCACCGTAATTATAGATGAAAGCACATAATCGTTAATGAACTCTCACCACAAAGCGAAACTTTGAAAACATTAATTTCGGAAGCATTGCTTTTGATTTACACCAGCCAAAAGATATGAAGCAAGCATTGAGTCAAAGCGAACCACTTAACCAAGCCACCATAATTGAATTTACTGTCATGTCTGTGTTAACACCAGTTTTTACATCAAATGTAAGGATAAAAAGAAAGTACACTCGGCATTAATTAAAATTCGTCGTACTTCAATGGAATCGCCATCTGAATGAGCAGTGATGCTTAAAATTGCTCATAGTGATATCTAACTTATCATTAAACAAGAAAGCTTTAAGTTACTTCTTTCTGAACCTGCAATAAAAGCAGTTAGTTATCGAGCTGGTAGTTAGTGTCTTGATTCGTGAAAAATGTGAGAAAAAGTTGTATATGAAATGCAGTTGTAATTTTTCAATGAAAGGTTTCAAAAAAGCTCTTTCTCTAAAAACATTAAATTCGTTGAAGTTTCTTCGAAATTTTCTAGAAATTTCCACAGCAATAACTAATTATTAATTAAACTACGCCGTTAGATACGAAAACCGTGATTTCATCTGATGTATGTTGCCATTTTAGTACTTTGCATTCAAATTATGATCAGAATCTTGTTTGTTTTCATGCTAGAATTGGAGGAATACCGAATTTTCTTGAAAAGTCCTAATTTTTACTGAGTTATTCATTGGGCTGATAAGAGAGACATGCAATCTATATTTAAATATTTAAATTTTTTTAATTAAAAAAAATAAAATAAATAAAACAAATCTTTCCATACAAGCACTTGTTCCCGATCGTTCAGTTTGTATGGCATATATATGCTATAGTGGTGCGATATCGGCGGTTCCGACAAAGGAGCAGCTTTTTGGAGAGAAAAATATGTGTGCATTATTTTAGATTGATATCTCAAAAACTGAAGGAAGCTTCTAGTATATACAGGCAGACAAACACAGCTAAATCAACTCAGCTCGTCATGCTGATTATTTATATATACATACATATCTATATTTTATAGAGCCTCCGACGTTTTTTTTTTTGGTATTACAAACTTCGTGGCAAACTTAATATAGCCTCTTCAGGGTATTAAAAGTGTAAATTTACGGAATTTAATGCTTTTTAATAATCGGCGATTTATTTTGAAAAATTTTGGATTCCCGTGTTCACGTAGCCGATCTCCAGCGGTGAAGAAGGTTTTTCTACTTAAATTTATTTCAAACCCCTAACCCAAAAAAAATTATAATAACTAAAGATGAATACAGGTAATGATCGAAGTACAAGAAAAAATTTTATTTTTTCACAAAATGGCACAAATGATTTTTTTTTTAAATTCGTTTGTTGCGAAAAAAACTTCATATCAGAGAGGCTTGAAAAATCGAAATTATTATCAAAAATCGGATTCCTTCGATCATTCGATCGGTCCAGCCGTTTCAGGGAAATGTTTCTCACTGGTTCTAAAAACTTTCGGAGAATATTTAAAATATATTGGTTCTGGCATCCGTGTTCATTACAATAGGTACATTCCATAAATCGTGGATATATCCTTTTTATGGCACTATTTGAGCAAGGCCTTGTTCAGATAGTTCTTTGATAAATAAAAAATAATAATAATAAATTTTGTATTTTTCAATTTTATTGGTTTTTAAGTTGCTGGTAAATCTGCTTATTTATGGAATTTTTCCCAAATGGCATTTTAAAATACTCTCACACACGAATATTCGTAATTAAATGTCACTCAATCCACATTCATTCACGATTCACTCGCACAGCAATCATCACTCCATATCGCACACACACACAGTTTGAACCTGCCGAGACGAAAGACGTAACGCATCAACACCTCACCGGCAAGCATCACGGGGCGTGCGAGAATGGAGCCAAGCAAATTTGCACTATTAAATTTTTTTTATGAAAAATACTTATAATGAGCTCCCTTTCCGAGAACGTATGATTTTAGCTCGTGTGTGTATGCGTGAGTGTACATACATACACATGTGTGTGCATACGAAAATTCATCTCAGCAACATTATTGCGTTGTTGCATTCAATGCGCAAATAAAAAATTAAGTACTGAACTATTTTCCTCTAGACTCACCGCATAAATTTTAATTAAATGTCACTCATACGCCACGCCGAACAAAATGTGTAAAGTGTGAATATGCCAACATTAGGAAGGTTCAAAGGTCATAAAGAAATATTTGTAAAATTTGTGTTGTAAGAAATCACATGGAGTGTAATTCTCTTGCAAAATAAAATTATTACATCAAGCGCATTGTTCTTTTGTACTATTGAACAAATACTGTTCTAGTATTTTTTAGAATATGAATTCGAGCTATAAGAGGTAAAAAATCTCTTATATTGACCAACATTAATGTAAGTTCATTTACAAGTACATACTTAGTATGTACCGATATAAGAAAAACTATAATAGAAAGATTATACAAGCATCTGTTTATTTAACACTAATTTCTAAATTTATAAGACCACCTTTCTCGCAAACATTCCTTTTGTTTTACATAGAAACGCGTACCATCACTACATAGGGCCTGGTTTTGACTCTTGTTCCCACCAATCTCAGAAATTTGTATTTAATAGGTGTCGCGCTTTATGGCGTCACGTGATTGCAACCCTTTGAATGTATTTCTATATTCACCTTGAAGTCAACTATAACTATAAATCATTATATACATTAATTGAAGGCTGGTGATAATTGATGATTGGACCGATTTCACCCATTTTCGGCACAAAGCTACAGTACATCTAATATATATGTATGGTCTCAATGAACCCATAGCTCATTCTTCGAAGCGTATTCCTCAATTTCGAAAACAAAAAAAGCCACAGGGAGCCAAATCTGACGGCGACTGATTAACGTATCTTGCTTTGTTTGTTCAAAAAGTCAATCACAATCAGGCTACGTCGGAGCGGTTTACGATGAATTGCTTCACGTACAAGTATATCCCTCAAAATGGCCAAGTTGTATTCTTTATTGACCGATTGACCTATGGAACGAGCTTGTGGTGAACCACATCACGATAATTAAAGAAAACGATAACATCAGCACGACTTTTGACCGACTTTGACGTGATTTTTTCGGTCCCATTTTTAAAGAGCCACTAGATGGACAGTTTGGACGTCACATTTATAAACCCACCTCTCATTTGATGAATGTAGGTTCCTCAGCTCCAAATGTGTTGAGTTCATCCATAAGAGATGTCTATCTCTCTGATACCAACACGACGAAACTCCTTATTGAATGTATATCGCTTTATTGTTTTTCAACAATCAGCGAGTCACTATCCATGTGTGTGGTTTGCATGGTCTTGATTACTTCAGACTCTACAATTGTTGACAGTACAGATCCGAATTAAGAGTTTGGCGCTAGAGGAGGAGCTCATAGTAAATGATACCTTGGCGATTCCAACCAATCTCACTACAAACCCCTAATGAGAGTCATTTTTTCTTGAAGTTGTCGTAATTGACCCACTTTTAATCACCAGTAAATATCCCTTAAAAAAATTTAAAGACTTTGTTGCGATTAAACAGGGACTCGCAGATGGAAATTCGGTTCATCAAGTTTTTTGCGTTAACTCGTGTGGCACCGATAGCATTAATATTGATATTGTAACCACATCGTTGATCAGAGGTGTATTGCATATATATTTAATATATTATACATGTAGGTACATAAATGCGTATGTGTATGTATGTTTAAATAAGCAGAAATTTGTTGTGAGTTGGTCGCAAGTGTGACGAATTTATACCATAAGTAGCATGCAACATGCCACAGTAACTGTATGACTGGAAGCACATGTTTCTTTTGTTGTAGCTGCTGTCAACAACGGCGCTACAAACAAATTCTGTCTTGTCAACCCGTATTCTCTGCCGTTTCCATGGATCCCAAAAATGTAAAATTGAATAAGAAAGAGAAAAAACTGTAGACACTGCATTTTATTATAACTGTAAAAGAAGTAAATCAAAAACGTTGTTTGGCAACTTAAACTTAATTACTGCCACTGCAACATTGCTTACACCACGTGCTTGTGGATGCGCAAAGTTTTAAAGGTCACAGCAGCGGAAATTTAACTAGCACTACTTTAACTTTTTGCAAATAATTGACCAACAAAGTTGGTTGCCTGGACTCCACAGCCACACACGCATACTTGTACACTATTGTATATACGAGTACATAAGTGCATTGCGGAAACTTTTGTTATTACATTATCATTTTTATTTACGAATTTATTACATTAGTGCCAAAATCATAAATACTCGTGAAACACACACATAAATAAACCGATTTCCTCCTCTCCTCGTCTCCCTACAACGAGACCCTTAAAATTTTTAAAAACTCTCTAAGCATTCCAGCAGCAAAAGTTTTAACATTTAATGCGATTAACATTTTTATTTCTGCCTAACATTGTTTTAATACACTCTCTATGATTACCACGAGTTTACACCTAAAAATTTATATCTATTAATGTGCGT